TGGGGACCACAATTGATGACAATACTGCTAGAGAGTTCTTCCGGAACTCAGTAATTGCGTCATTAATCACAGGTATTGATGAAATCCTAATTAAAAATTTCATGTGGTGCTGACCATAATATCTTGTGAGCACGGAATTGACACCCATAAGTTTAAAGAATTCTGCCTGGCCACTGCTTAACTTTATGCTGCACTATATATTTGATACTACATGCCTCAAAGCCCCATAAAGTGCTGATACATGAAGGTCTTCTTGTCAATGATCCTATCTTAGTGATAGCACAAATGTCGTAACAGATAATAGAGGCCCGGGACAAAATATTCTCATAAATCCAACCGGCAGCAAAGCATGGAAAACATGGTGCACATGCTTTAAGTTTCTACAAGTCCCTTCACAATAAGCTTAAAGAAAATTAAAAGAAAGTAGAAATACTTTTTTTGCTTTTCTTATTTTGATACTAAAAGCACCATAAGAGTCCTTTTCTCAATACAAGTCAAGTGAACATTATGCTAGTGACTCGGAATGTGTGTGATCCAGTAACAAATTCTATTTCTCAAATACTACCTAAATTCTTCTCTACTCACACAATCACGCACCCCCTCCCCGCCTCGCTTCTTTCTTATTCTCTTTATTACATACTACCTTAAATGCCTGTTCTTCGCACTGGTTTTTTAAAACATAAAATTCATTTATTATAGCAATTATAATATTCTATATGGAGTTTAATACCCTATATGAAGTAGTAAAACCAAAAATTTAAAATATTTTTTTTATTTCAAATGAATGTTTACATTATGAATAAATTTAAAAAAAACTGCAATTTAACAATAACAGATATTTCAATGTAATAGAAAATTAGCATGCTAAAACTAAATAATAATTTAACAGAAACAAATGTTCCGATGCAAGTGAGAAAAATTAGCATGCTAAAAAGTAAAAAGATGTGAATGAATGCAAATGAAAAAAATAAAAAAAAATTAGCAGTTACAGAGAGACTACCGATATAAGGGAATATTAAGAAGTTTTAGTATTAAAATTTTAAATTTCATAATGTTTGAATTAAAATTATCAAAATCAATCTGGTTTTCACATCTATTGACACTCCGAGCAACAATCATATGCATTTTTATATGTTTTTTTATTATTCAAATATATTACGGGCTGTAAAAGTTCATGGCAGAATATAAATACAATTCAATTGAAATAACAATTAATATACAATCATATTATTTAAGGATAGAATTTGTATTTACTTAAATTTCAAAGTACTTGATTTTTAACATTATTTTAATTGCTTACATCATTTTCACCATTAATTTCAACAATAGTTAGACTTTTTGTACTTTCAATTATTTCATTTTTTTCTAAAAACGATATAATAGGCTTATGGTAACTAAAGTAAGAAAGGAAAATGTTTGATTCAAATTTATCTAAATATCGCGTAAAAACCGCATCGATCGTCGTTTTATATTTTGTAGTACCGAGTTTTCGATCATTGGACATATTTAAATTGAGTGTTACATTTAGAAATTCAATTAGTGGTAGATTTTTATCATTTGCAAAGTTAATATTGAAGTCTTCACTTAAAATGATCGGTACATTATCATATTTTTAGCCAAATCGTTTTTTGAGTATTTCAGAACCAATCTTCTTTTGTATAAATCATCAAATTTTCGAATAAAAATTGTTGTATCTGTCTCATAGATTTTCCAACCGAAATATAAACGACAACCATTAATATATATTGTCCATTCTCGGAATCGCAACGAGCAACGCATATTTCGCCTATATCAGAAACATTAACACCAATGCTTCTAGTGAATTTAGTATGCATATCAATATGTGATGTAATGAAGTGTGACGTATCTTGAGTATTGTGCTAAATAGCTACGCCTGCTGCTGGAACTTTGGGTCTTTTATACCTAACAACAAAGTTGAAATCTGGAATATCAAGTGGTTCTTCATTTTTCATACGAATTTCTGACAAAAGCAGAACATTTGATTTTTTTACGATAGCATCATTTTTTAGGTCAGCTGCAAGCGCATGCGAACTTTGACAATTGAATGAAAATATCGATAATTCTTAGTTGTTGGAGATGAATTCTAGAAAAGTTTTGATGATCGTTTGTTGAGTGTATTGTTTTGTAAACCTTTTCAATTCTAACGTTAGATCTTCTCGATGACTTGTTGATCTTTTATGATATCTATCCGTTTCTGAAGCATTTAGAGGTGTTCCTGTTCTACCAAGTCAAAATTTCCAGCTGTTGCTAATATTTTCTTGAGTAACCAAAAATAAACTTGAATCCTCGTTACTCTTGTTAAAGCTAAGTATACTAATTTGCCATCTTATTCGTAGACAATGGCATTATAAATACTTCCCTGTGATTTCTGTATAGTCATTGCCAAAGCAGAAATAAGTGGAAAATGTTTTCATTTCGCAGTTATGGTTTTATTGTTGTTGAGTGGTATGGATGACTTGCTATGCAGTGCAATAGTACTCACTATTGTACTGTACAATGATTCTTCAATTAAACGATTCAAATAATAATCAAACAAAAACACTATTTCAACAATGCGCAGTATATACACAATTGAACTGTTCTCTAAAACCATTCAATTTCACTTATAAGATATACACAATACTATACGTTAGCTGTATAGCTACAGATATACTGCTATAAGCATGTCGGTGAGGCGAACGCACGAGATTTTTCACACATCCAAAAAGTGTCTAAGGCGCACAGCACACTGCGCGTGCGCCAGTCATGAGCGTGTCGGTGACGCGAATCGATAAGATTTTCTCCTACCAAAAAGTGCCCAACGTGGCTATAGAAGTTTACACTTCAAAAGTTATAACAGAAAAGTGATAGCAGTGTTAAACTTCTGCTATGGGTGAAATGACCGGCAAATAGATTAAGTCGAAAGAAAAAAAATAATGATGATAAACAGATTCACTAACGACTATCGTAAATAAGAAATATTAGGAAGCCTTCAACTGGAGAAAAAAAATTAAATTAATATGACATGAGGTATGGATGCAATACTATCTAACATCTCTGTATTATATTTAATATATATTAGATGTAATTCAATACACTAAACACAATAATTAGTATAAACTAAAATTAAAATTTACCTAAAACCGATAGAACAGGCTGAAATAGTCCATAACCAACAACAGTATTAAATGACACAAATAATAAACCATGTCGCTAAGAAATTATTGAAGCAATACATTTTGCAACATTTCTATTAAAAATTATAATTTGATCGCAAAAAGCAAACGAATGAGTGCATAGAATAATAAATAACTATATTGATGATTATACGATAACATAAAATACGAATATGATCTCCAAGAAACTATGCAGGAACAGATTATCAGAAGCAATGCTAAAACTATGTTGGCATGTAAAATCACTTCAACATTGAATTTAATCTTTTCAAGGCAGATCTTTTTTCTGCATTTTTTTTTCAATTACAAATGATTTCTGGTTTGCAAGATTGTCAGAAGCAAAATTAAGTCATGACGAAAACTCTGGTGAACACTGAATTCAAATTAACCCGAAAGAAATATGAGAACATTGTTTCAAGGTTCATCTGATCATAGTTTCAGCAAAAAGCTTCTTGTTAAAAATATTTCTGACTTTTTTTGATTTAAAACCAAGATGAGTTTCTATCGGTCATAAGGACCATAAGACCAAAAATAATGGTATGCAAAAAAACATGGTACATTCTGGGTTTTTTTATACATGAAGCATAATCTTCATAATATTGCCAACGTATTAATAGCAATTAGTTTGAATTTAGTGTCATTTTTTTTCTGTTATACTTTCAGTAATGTTTTTCTACAATGAAGATAACATTGAACATGCTGATGAAGGTAGAATAGCAATAATCTTTATTTTCAATGACAGAAAATGACAGAAATATGTACAACATGTAACATTTATTTGTAAAAAATGCATGTGTATATATACAATTAGCACCAAGAACAGATTGTCAAAAGGAAAATTATTTTGACGTGCATTTAATTGCATCCATAGTTTCAGTGTTGATCCATAGTTTTTGTAAAAGATGTTTTTTTTGCCAACAAATGACATGAGAATAAAGCAGGCGAGAAGCGAAGATGTAGTTCAATTGATTCTAAAAAAAATAACTTTTGATATTTGTGTCATGAATAGATTACATGATGTATGACTCTGTTTACAAAAAGCCTCGCAAATTATTATTCGGCTCAAAAACTGACTTATGAGCATTAGTATCACATAATTACTGTACCTACAATAAGCAGGAAAAGGAGAGTTCAGAAAATATAGAAATATGAAACTGTGACACTGAAATAAGAATTATAATATTTTTATTTAAAATAAAAAGTTATCTAAAACAAAAAAAGTAAGCCTTTATTTCGATAAAATTACCATAAACAGTTTTAAACAAAAGTAAATAAATAAATAAATAAAATTAAAAAAAAAATAAAACAGAAATTCTTAAATATTCAAAATTGAAAAAGAAATAAACTAAACAAATAAGTATAAAAGTAACCTTAAATATAGCAGAGATTATAATATTAATTCAAACTAAAAAGCCACTTTAAGTAGATAAATTAAGGTTTAATTTTGAAGAAACTACCATAAGCAGCTCAGAACAAAAAGACATGTCAAAAAGTCTCGCAAGTAAAAAGAAATTTTAACTTAAATCAAACAATATTGTGTGGGGGGTAATCTTTTAATCTCAATTAGTTTAAATTGTCATTTCCTTTAGTTACATTTTTGCCATTTTTGAAGTTATACTTCTTTTGGGGCGTTAGAAAAATACGATGAGGATAAATTTTTACAATGCTTGCGCACACCATCACGCATGTGACGCAAACCCGTCACGGATGTGATGCACACCGTCACGGATGCGAAAACGCTTTGTCTACAAATATACAGATGGGGACACATCAATCTCGCCTTCGAAATTCTCAGAAAAATATTTCTCTTCACTTCCCTCAAGAAGGGGACACCCGGGATTGAATCGGAGACCTCTCGATCTGCAGTCGAATGCTCTACCACTTAGCTATACTCCCGCGTCAGCGAACATTTGCTTTGAGATCCTTAGGAAGGATACGAAAATGCTTCGTCTAAAAGTATACAGAACGGGACAAATCATTCCCGCCTTCGAAATTTTCAAAAAAAATATGTCTCTCTTCACTTCCCTGAAGAAGTGGGCCCCAGGTCTGAACCGGGGTGTCCTAAATATATTTTTTTCAGGACCATAGCCCCATTTCTTTACTCTTATTTAACATTCTAAAATTATTTTAGTTATAATTTTTTTTTAATCCCGCGTATCTCCTAGAATTTTTGAGATTCGTTAATGAAACTGGGACCATAGATTTTCCTCGTTGAGCTCTTTCATCTCTTATTATTCGTGTGTAGATAATGGGCTTAGGGGTTGCGTTATCCCTAAAATTAGAATTCCCATGTTATTCCTATGAGGCTCGAACCTTTGATGACGTAACGATATTAGAGAGACAGAAGGATGATACTTTGGGATCGCCTACTACTCTGCGTATCGTAGGGATGTACGTTACCATTTACGTCACAGTTATTCCCCCCCGGGGAGTTAGTTACGTTCTCCTGTCCCAAGCTAGCGCCACCCCATTTGCAACTACAGACTCCGGACCGATTCTAATGGATTACTCTTGTGTTTGTTCACAACCAATCCAGGTTCGAGTTCCTGGGTGTCCTGATTCTATTTTATTTAATTGTTTTAATTATTTTAAAATGACCATAACTCGGGGGCTCTTCAGGCGGTTGTCTTAATTTTCTCAGGAACGATTCTTCCCACCGAGACATTCAATATGAGGTCTCAGGTGTCACATTCGGTTCACTTCATTTCCAGATACAGTC